ATACTGTGTTCTCCACTTCCTCCTGTAACTGAGTTATCTGAAATCCCAGGATATTGGTAAAATTTTGCTCATACCCCCAATTTTCAAGCACTCTATCAGAGTTTTCAACAAGAGTCGGATTTGACCTTCTGTAATTTGATTTGAAAGGTCATTTTTGCTTAAGTTAGTAAATTTTTTCTTTCTGACAAGAAAACTTTCTCTGCTTGGCCATCATCTTGGGAGATTTAACACATTCATATCAATCATACTATTAACCCAGTAAACGGGTGTAACAAGACATCAAAATGGCAACAAATCATAGACATATATGCATGTGATTGACATTGCCTGCCTGCATATGAAGTGTGCTGGTACCTCTCCTGGAATTACATGTTTCTTAATTTTCAAAGAGACGAAAAGCTGAAAAATGTTTCAACCAAACTGCTTGGACAGTGATAAAACAAAATGGCACAGGTTTACGCTTACAGAAGTTAGTAGTTAGTTAAAATTCACAATTAATTTATTTTTTAAACTGAACAAGTTTAAAACTTCATTAAATATGAAATGATTAATCAATTAAATGTTTATTTTTTATGTTTTGCCTTCCAAATGACTAATTAAAATCACTGATCCAACAAGAGCATGACCTTTGACCCCAGTCAGAATCTGAAGGTTTTATTTTAAATTAAGTAACTTTTTAAATTTACATGTCTGACTTTTGTGAGTAGTGTACCTTCTACCCATTATCTTAATTTTTATATTTAGCCCATGCCAAATTTAACTTCAGACATTAGGGTGTTGCCTTTGTATGATCCAGTTTTTTTCGGGGGGACTCATATATTTGACTCCTAACTGGACTCATTCTTTTCCAGTGTGTGGGACTCGTTCAAATTTTGTTATCCAACTATATCTCTTTGTATCAGAACTCATCAATATTTTGGGATCAGTGTTCTGGACTCGACTTAGAAATCTTACAAAAAATACTGTGAGTATAGGACTTAGGTATAGATATATAAGTCTGTGATTATAACTATGATGTTGATATATGTTAATATTTCAGTTTGATTCTTTCTAACCCTGAAAGTTATCTGCTAAATACTATCTTTTTTAAATTCAAATTAAGCATAGAATATGAGAAGTTAAGCTACAATTCGAATGTAATACAGACTTGAACTTTGAGTGAATGTAATTTCATTTGAAAGTTTGTATTTAAACTTTACTAAAAATCACCAGAAATTTTTCTTTGATGATTTGCATTAAAACCTTGAATTTTATTTCATCACTGACAGCAAAAATGAATATTTGTAGTCTGAATAGTAACAAGGATGTCTCTCTGTTATAATGTGGAAAGACTTTTATTGAAAGGGAGGAAACTCTGTCAGTCATAGCCTATTTCTTGTACCCCCTCCCCCCACCCTCCCAATACCCTATATACACAGTATATGTGAAAATAATATCATTGCAGCATTTGTTTTGTTTATTTACTGTAAGCAAGTCTCATGATCATGATTACTCATCTATATGATGTGTATGTAGTGGTAATTTTACAAAAAACTTGGCCCAATTAAGCTACATGTCACTTTTTAATTGAAATCTCATGAAACAAATTATGTAAATTTCTCTTCTTTTTACTTCCATAGCTATATCCTCATTATTCAAACTCATATCATTTTAATAATGATTCCCTTCCTTTTTTGTGTCATTTACAATCATGGTAAAATAAATCGCCATGCATGCCACTGAAGTTGAATTTCAGAATACAAAAACTGTAAATTGATTTGTTTAGGAACTGCTTGATAAAGAGAATCTTCGACTTGGTGCAGAGTCCCAGGGTCATGATTTCACTCCTTGGAAGCCACCGTCGGGTTTGAACAAGCCAGACTTTACCCCTCAGCCACTCAAGCGTAATGCCACACTCCGCGGTACACTTCGTCGACGAGTGTCAATGAGTGTAATGAAAAAGAAGATGAGAAAGTTCCAGGATTATTCTTTGATGGACTCTAACTTCCAGTATCTGGACAGTTTAGGCAGGGGAGATAACCAAATCTGTCGGACTACTTCAACAACAGACTTCAAGGTAAGATATATATTTATGTTTAATGTTTGGTTAACTTCACTGAAAAAATAACACACTAATATTAGTTTTTCTAGACAGTAATTTTGAGAGGTACAGATTATATCACTTTTTAATCATATTTTGTTAGGTTTGACAGAAATTATTTAATTATATATATATCAGAAGTAGGATGTTAACACAAAGTATACCAGCTTAAAAATTTAGATGGTCAATAAATTTTATTATTGTCGATCACAACGGTTTTGCCCATATTGGGCTCATCAGAGCAGTGCAACATGCAATTCACTGCTCTAAAGTACATAAAGAGTGGTTCAAAGTATGATGTGAACTTAATTCCAAACTTCAGAGTCTGTTTTTGGAGTGGACACCTTGCATACCCTTGTGGTATTCATACACCAGTGAAAAAAGCACTAATTTGATACTCAATATCAGTACCATCGTTGGCGTAATCTTTGATTTTTTTAATTATATATTTGTGTGTGCATGATCTACAATGTGGTATTTTTATATAAATTATGTATCAATCTAACACACATTATAAACAAGTTATAAGTAATTATACAGTATACATATTTTATGTGGTATTTTGGTGGTTTGTTTAAGCAAAAATCTCATCTTCTTTGAGTCCTAGGGGCTAAGATTTTGAAAGATGGCGGACGTTTGTTGCAGAAAGTTAATTTAGATATATATTCACCATTTCTCAATTTTCTAAATTTCAGGAATATAAGAAATGAGCCGTTTTTTTAATGTTTGTTTTAACATACTAGTTTTGGTAAAGTTTAGGATTTGCACAGAAAGTGATAATGCTGGAATTTTGGGTAAATGCTGGAAAAGTGCTGGAATTTGCTCACAAATGTATGTAAAGTGCTGTAACTCATACATTCTTGCTGTAAACATAAAGTTCCTCTTCAGCGAGAAGACAATGAACAGAGAACTTGTCTCCATAGCAAAACACTTTAAAAAAAGTGAAGCTCTATACCAGTATTAACTCCTTATTTCATGTTTTTTCTATTATTTGATTCACATAGAGTAAAAAAGAATATATTACATTCCCATTCCCTGCAAGTTAGGATAACAAAATGCATCTGGAAAATCAGAAAAAGTGCTGGAAATGTGCTTGAATCTTGGTAAGAAAATTCAATACATGAAAGTTTATTTAAGACAATTTTGTTGTATTGACAGTATATATAACAAGACGGGTTTATAAATCACTATGCCCCATGATTGCAACAAAATTCTAAGGTGTAACATTTAAACTGTCTGTGTAAGGCATATGCTAATTGCATGTACACTTTGTGAAATACTAATGTCTTCATTGTGATAAGAATGGTCAAGATCACATTGTCAAACATTTTGGTACCACAAGAAAGGTCTTGTCACAAGGAACACAAGTGCTAAATACCAAAACCATACTTCTTATGATGCAATCATTATGGCCAATGTGATTTTTTTTTCAGATGTAGGTCAAAGGTCATAATCAAGGTCACATGGTCAAACATTTTTGTACCACCAGAAAGGTTTTGCACATGCAAAATTTGAAAGCCATACCTCTTATGATGCAATAGGTATGGCCAATGTTAACATTTTTCAAATGTTCGTCAAAGGTCAAGGTCACATGGTCAACAATTTCGGTACCACTCAAAAGGTTTTGTCAGAAGGAACACACTTGCCAAATATGAAAGCACTAATTCTTCCGTTGTAGTAGTTATGGGCCAGATTAAAGTTGACAACAGACAGCAAAAAAACCAACATGGCCATGATCTTATGATGCGGGGACATAAAAAGGCCACCCAAGGAGACAGGGGAAAAAGGTTGTTATAGACAGGTGGCCTTTTTATAGGGGTTCAATCACTATGAATTTTAGTTGTATTCCACTAGGAGCAGATTTAAAACAGTGACTTTAATTCTGGATTGGTGCTAGCATAGGTTTGACTGTATTCTTTACTCTTAGATATAGAAAACGAGAACAATAAGTTTAATGCACTAAATGTACCTAAGTTAATGGTAATTTTATCACAAAAGGGTTAAGTATTAGGTTAAGTACCTGTTCTCTGATATCATAAAGAGGAGGCCACAAGATACCAAGAACTTATGTACTTCATATATTTTGGGTCAAGGAATTTGAACTTCAGCAACCTAAAGCTTTGCCACATCAAGCTTCTTGATAAATTTCAAACACAATTTTTTTTCTTTCTATTATTTTCTTCTTAAAAGGTACACATTTTATGAAATAGAAATGTTAATAATTAAAGAAAATCTTCCAATTTTTTCTAAATGTGAACAATAATATTTGGTCTGAGTAAAACATAGTTAACAGATTTTAGAAAATTGTATGAAGAATTTTTATCTTATAATATCAAAAAGATAAGTTAAGCTGAACAGGCAAGTGAAAATCCAATGATGCAGTTCCTTATTACTGTAATAAGTTATAAGGCTCATATTGCCTCCCCTTAATATAGACGGGGACATGTGCATCGCCAGTACCAATTACACAATGGGTAAACCATTAATGTATAAAGAGTATCTTTTCACATGGCTCAGTACTGTCCAGGTCACTTCCTTTTGAAATTTTTTTTTCTTCTCCATCAAAGAAATAAAATTGGCACAAACTTTAGAATTAAAAGGGAAAAAAATGAATATGATGAATTACCCTGTTGGGTGCCTCTTAAATGTATGGTTGGCTGCTGCAACAGGAAACTATAGTAAATTCGGGGCTAACTCAAAAACGTTTCTCAGTTGTTGAAAATCTCTTCAACTTTTTCAGACCAGCCCTTTCCTATAGCTGCCACTGATTGTGTGAAGAGGAATTATTTTTGTGAAGTTTGTTTATTTACCGAGTTTCAATTATTCTAGAAAATCTAAATTGTTATCAAGTTTTGTACAAAAAAAAAAAAAAAACTTTTGATATCATCCCTTTTCTGTTAGAAAATAGTGTGGGAAAACGGAAAAGTTCAGGAAGGCCTATTTTGTTTGTATTTACGAGGGAGGATGACATCTCATTTTTATGACTGATTTTGTCGGGGAAACATCTTGTGTCAAGTTTCTAAAGTTTTTCATGTCAGGACTATAATACAGCTAGCTGTTGGTCAGTGTTAAAGTTTAAAAGCTACTGCCTGCAAGTTACAGGCTACAGCACCATGTGATCAGCTAAACATAATTACACCATGTGGAGCTAGCTGGGGAGTGTAATTTCCAAGTACTCTACAATATATAAATATATCATTTTCATTAGGATGGAAGACTCTTCTGTTTTCATCACTGTAAGTATAGACAAGATTTTCTTTCAAAATATATCTTAAAGCTTATTGTTATCTTAAAACAAATGACAGTTCAGTGTGAATTGTGAATATACATATACTGCTGTTGTTTTGGTTTGTATATAGATGTAATGTGGGTCTGAAAAACCTTTTTTTTTGGGACATTTTATAGACTTGCTGTGATGTTGCACATTACTTGTGTTGATTACATACTGTACTTGTAGTTACACTATGATATGATATTCTGGTAGCTGTAGAGCTACAATACTCCAATAGACTTAAAAGTATATACGCATCATTTCCATGATACATGATAATGAGGATTTATCAACTAATTGATTGTTAGAATGTGTTGGTACTATATATATCCTGATATACAGTACCATCTATTAAGCTTAAGTTTTAAAACCTGTGACATTCATATATATATATATATATGGCATGACTTAATTTTCTGCTATAAGATATTAACTTCCAAATGTCTCTCCATTTTGCTGCATGTGATATACAGCTAAGTACTGCATGCTGTCGAATTAAAAAATTCCAAATTTACTGACACAGTTGATGAAAGGTACTTTTAATAAACAAAATTAAAACTTAAATTAACATTTCCATTGTATTTCTGTACTGTGTGATACAATTTGTATGAAGATTTGACACAGTGATGAAAGTTTGTATTCTGGACGATTTTGAAAAAAAAAATTTCAATTTTTTCTTAAGAAATATGTATATATTGTGACCTAATTGTTGAGTAAATGTCAGCAACGAAAACAGCTGTTGCTTGTTGATGACAATATGTGGAGCTGAAGGGTATCAGTCATGCACAGGATTGTTCCCCAACGTAACTAGAGGGGGCAATTAACGTGTGCAGTATATACTCACTAAAACATGCCATACATCATTAAGTGTAAAAATATAGGAGTTTTGACTGCTGGAAAAACAGAAATATGCATCGTTAGCAATATTCTATGGAATGATATTGTTGGATGTGATTAGCAACACTGCCTTTGAAAGAACAAGTAAATGACATAATTTGTGTTTCTTGTTTCAAAATGAATTAGAAATTTAGGATTGGTTCAACAGATACATATATGACAACATCTCAGTATTTAGAATGTAGAAGTTTTCTTGTGATCTCCATTTTAGGGCTACCATAAATGAAAAGCTTCTATTTGTAAATAGAATTAACAGTACTTTGTGTTGATTGGCTGAGATGCTTAATATTTGTGCATGCATTTTGAAAATTGACTCTATTCTTTACCAAACCAATTGGCTTTGATACTATATATACTGGTATTTGTTTGACTTTTAAAATATTGATTTTTGTGTTTTTGGATTCACCACAGCCAAGGCCATAATGTTAACTAATACTGCTTCTGGTAAAGGACATTATAGTGCTGTCTCATTGAACTGTCATTACCTGGGCACTGTAAGATGATAACTGAGTGGATATAATTTAAAAAGATAATGGGCTAATCAGTAACAGTATCACACATTGAAAACTGACCTAGAAGTTCCTTGCTTAGATTATGTACATACTTTCCAAACTTAAAATCATTTCTAAAATGTGGCTGTTAGAACAAAGAAAGAGAAAAAAAGCACCTGGTCCAAATTCATTTTGACATAGCTGAATGTTTTGGTTACAGATGTCATTGTCATTAAATATTGGGAACAAAGGTATATCTAAGTTTCAGGTGGGGGGGGGGGAACAATTTTTCATCATTTTGCTCAGACTTTTACTACCCAATGCAGGTATATGTGTAGCCTGTGTGGTATTTTCTTGATCCTCGAACTGAAGGGAAGAGGAAAAAAGGAGTTTGAATGAAATGGACAATAGATGTATATTTTAACAAACTAGTAGAAGTACCATTATGTAATGTTGTCACAACATTGAATAGCAAGGCATCTGTGGATTCATTGTGAACAAAAGTTCTTGTAGTGTTGATTATCCAGACCCTTTTTTCTTTGAGGAAAAAGTTATTGTAACGTATGAGAGAAATACAATTCTTTTTTTTAATTTCTTCTTCTTTGTCTTTTGAGAAGTTTATAAATAATATTATGGAAATTTCATTGCCATTTAAAAAATTTGTATGTAGTAAATGCTGATGTAAACAGCTTTGAATACTGTCTTCTTTTTTTCGGAAAATAGGAAAACAAAAAAAAAAGACAAAAAACATTAAATATCAAATGAGTTGAAAGGGCTTTTGTATGCTGAGGAGATTAATTGATGGAAGGGGGGTAACTCCTGCTGTCTTTCTTTGTTCCCTTTGTCAGATTTGAAAGGGTATTGATTTTTGAGCTCAACCGTCTCTGTATCTGACTCTATCTGTTCAGCAGCCATTGTCAAAGACTGCCAGCCCCAGCAATTAACATGACGATCAGGCTAACCAGACACGAGGCTGCAAACAGACAGCAACAAATCTGTATTCTCATGGCAAAATGTGCCATCTGCAACACTGGCTAAAAAGGAACATGATGAAATGTACAACAGTCAACAGTTAATGTTTACTTGGCAGTGATAATTGACTACACAGATTGTTAAAAATTCTTCATTATTGCTGTGGAAATATGTTGAAATTGTGCTTACTGGGATAAAATGTTAATGTGATCAAATTTTATGTAAACAACCAAGATTGACTGGTAAAAATTGACAACACAGGTGTTTAAGCGGAATCTGTGATAATATAATTAGTGCTGCTGATACTGGGGATATTTTAAGGCATGGCCTTACTGTACTTTTGACCAGTGGTCAACAATGACAGATATTGAGGGAATACCTAGCCCAATTCCTGACCTGCTCCTTGGAGGAGCTGCCAGAACAAAGGTATAGTGGTTTTTTTTCATTGTTATACAGGAAGATATGTGTGTGATGGGCAGTAAGGAAAATAGTTGTCCATTGTTGTAAAATATAACTTATCATTTAGCTTATCACAAAAATTAGTTGAACCTGAAGACTTTAAACATGCTGAATACTTATGTATGATTATAAATGCTAAATATATATATTACTTATATATAAGTATCATTTAAGACAGCAAGTTTACACATTTTTTCACCATTTTTCTTCATTAACAGGAAATCTTCCTGACCTGAATACAGTTGATAGAATATCATGTACATCTGTATTTTTCTTGATCTGTGTATCTGGTACAATGTATATATTATATTACATTGTTTTGTAAAATTAACAGTCTCTGTAACCATTGATCTATAAAGAAGATTTTCTGTGCCATCTTTAAAAGTCCCAGTGTAACAGTCGTATAATTAAAGTAGAATTTTTTTCTATCCCCTTTGCTGATTCATCGACATAATGAATTAGAATTCTGCCCACCATTGATTTACGACATGTACATGTACTGGGCCAGTCCCAATTGTAATTTGAGAATTACAGAGAAACATTTTAATAACAAACAAATTCAGGATGATATTGGAAAGGTTTATTTGAAAAATTTCCTGAGTATTGGACAAGCAGAACATAAATGTTTATCCCGGAATCAGAAGAAAATGAAATTACATGACCTTCACCTTTGATTGCCAAACAACAAATTAATTTCTTCCAGCTGTAGTGCACCTGAGGGAACTGTGAAACAGCAAAGACTGATAGCATGGGGAGGAAAAAAACATGAAGTAAATGAAAAACAGGTTGTAAGATACAGGTTATCTTACTGATAAAAGATAACTTAAAAGTTTGGTTGGGGGTGGAGGAAATCTAATGCGAGACAACATCATAGGATGAGCTATTTTGTTGATATATGGAGACCAAGGTTACATTTTTCATCTGACTTCAGACTTAGTGTAAACTTATGTGGTCCAGGTGCATGTGGCACTTGTGTGTCTGTATGTCTTGGGTATGTGCAAGTGGCTTTTTATGTTTGTGAGGTTAGGGCGTATCAGAGATACTGGTTTATATTTGCTCGAATTACCATCACAAATCTCTTTTTTATTATAGTGTTATTGATTTTACGGCTGGAATGACTGTGGCAGAGAGATGCAAATTTTATCAATAGAGCGTAAAATCTGCTGTCCAGGTTAACACTGACTCTTCAGTGCCTGTTCCTTCTGAAATGATTATACACTGTTTGTATTTACTTGCCCAGTAATTATTAAATGATTGAACTTAATTTCCTATGTATTATCACTGCTTATTAAGGACTACTTCTATACATTTTGGTAGGAAGAAGATGTTAACACCCCCAATTGAGTTAGGTTTCAGAAGTTGCAGCTGTGTAATAAATGACTGTCAAACTTAACTGGGAAATTTTGACCTGGCATAATTGACACTCATATGTACAAGGTTACCCTGTTCAAGTTAGGGGTCAAGATAGCTCCGTTGATAAGTAGCCTTACCGACTGGTCTCTGCTGATACGGTTTACTGTCTTTGAGCAAGAAACTTTACCCTAATTGATGTAGATATGTGACAGACCTCCCATATGTTGTTCAGTGAGGTTAAGCTATAGCTACCTGAGCTACTATAAAGAATTTTTCTCTCTTCAAAATAACCTTGACTTTTCATGGGGCAATAAACATAACAAATAACAAAATTGTTCAAGTCTGTGTGTGGCAGCTTTTATTTACCAAAATTACATGGTTGGATGGCCGTAGTTGATAAATGGTGATTATCCCACCGTTTATCTCTCCATTTAATTTTCTGAAAGTTCATGTTTTTAAAAACCTTCCTGAACTTTTAACCCTAAAGTTTACTGAGCCATCTCAGGTATAAAAAAATGTAATCTATTTAATAAATAATTAGTTTTTATTGAAATCAATTAAACACAATGTTACAATACAAATATTTTGAATAGTTACAAACCTTTGGTTTGTATGTACAGTAGAACCTTGTTAGTCTGGACACTTTGGTTTGTGTATACAGTAGAAACTTGTTAGTCTGGACACCTAGGTTGGTGTGTGGAAACTATATCATGGCTAATTAATGAAAAGAAATACCTGCAGTTGCTCTTTTACATGTATCTATAAAGTTTGACATCTGGAAAGCTTTCTTTTT